AAACCTGCTGGTGAAAGAAGGAAAGTTTAACGGGTTATTTTTTTATATCTAAGAAGAAAACTAATTCTGCAGGTTAGAAAACATTCTACTTGGAATTCTGGAACCATAATTGATTTTGTTTTATTAAAAAAGACAGAAGCCGATTAATGTTCAAAGAGCCGCTCATGAACAGCTGCTGATCCTCCATCTTCAAAGTTTCATTAAACCTTTTTTCATTTAGTCAGTTTTCCTTGCTTTGGTTCTGAGCAGCAGAAGCGGTTCCGGTTCTGCTGCTTCTGACCCGCTTTCACCTCTGGGCGCTGACAGGATGTAGTGGCGCCATCTTGGGGCGGTCAGCAGCTCCGCTCAATGTAACGTGTTGAGCAGGAAAAGGATCAATTTTAATTAACTTTAACTTTCTAAATTTTAAATAAATTTTCAGTTTTTTTTTGCTGAAAACAAATAAATGGTTAATTTTATTTAAATATTCTTAGTGTGTTTAAGAGTAATAAAATATTCCGATAGGATCGATGTTGTAAAGCATATAGATATATATATATATATAACTTCAGATGCACAGTATTTTATTTTTTATATTTTTTATTAATTTTCTTTCGGAGTAAAAAGCTCCTTGTCTCTGCTACGTTTTTATCGTTCTTAGATTCTGGTGACCTTTTTTTATCAGAACGCTTCTTCTTCCTGTCTTCTAATGTTGAACTCTGGTTCCCATAATTCATTAAGGTTCATCCCAGGCTGTAGAGCGATGACATCACCGGTACCTGTCCTCTCAGGTGGGATGGCCTTCCCTCTCTACCAGAAGGCAGTGTCATTGCTTTTATTTCCGAGGCCCTCCATGGATTACTGCCCTCTAACGTTTCTACCTTCCTTCCCCAGTAAAGCGCAGCTTCTTCTGCCTGAGATCCACCATCAGCTGCTGCTCTCTGCTGCTTTTCCAGAACAGAACTGGGGGAGAAAGACTTTAGCTCCGCTGCTCCTTCTGGGGGGAAGATTTTACAGAGAAACTGGAAGTTGACTGAGTTTTTATCTTTAAAAGCTTTTAAGTTGAAAGTGAGAGAATTTGAAGCAGCCTCAATGATCTTCTGTTTTACTTCATGTTTTTTATGTACCTGTCATTTCATTTAACGTATCTCTGAAAACTCTGAAAAAGAGGATTTTAATCTCAATGGGATGTTTTTTGTGGTTAAATAAAAAAATATTTATGTGAATATTTATTTTTACCCATTTTTTAGCAGTTTTGTTTTATAGAGTTTTATGGGTTTTTTTTATTTCTCTTTACAGCTCTATAATGTCACTTATTCTATTATTTTTATGCACTTTTTAAAGGTCCACCATTGTGTGACCACTTCAGCTGCTGTAACGGCAGAGTTTCTATTCTATGTAGTCTATATCTGCTGTTTATTCAGTAACGTCTCCAAAGCTCTGATGCCTTCAGGAAGTTCTCCCTCCAATCATGACGTCATCAGTCTGTAGATCTAAACTAAAAGATGCTGCAGTGCAGAGCCATCCTTCTGTTCTGCTTAAAGCTGCAGGTTAGGGGAGCAGGTCGACCTCCCCAAGATGGCGTCTGTAATTCCTACACTGCGACAGTCAGTGGCTGATAATCCAGCCCTGCCTGGGTAGGTCTCAGAGCGCCCCCTGGTGGATCAGGAGAGTCTCTTGCTGATAAAGATGGAAACCATCAGCATCTGTAGTAAAATAATCTTTATTCATCATTTGACAGAAACATCTGGCCTCCCGAGCTTCAAACTCCCACCATCTTCCTCAGACTCTTCATCCTCAGAGCTCCTCCCCCTCCGCTCCTCATCATTTCCCTGATCTCCTGCCGACAGTCCTGGCAGCGCTCCGCCACGGCACACAGAACCTCCTCCAGAACTTCCTCGGTCTGAGGGTCAGGTGGGGCGCCGCCCCCCGTCAGCACGCCGTGCTTCAGCCAGCCTTCATCTCGGATCAGAGCGACGATCCACGGCTGAGTCCGGACGCAGCCTCCCAGGGCCTGCAGGGACAGACGCCACAGCTCCGCCGCCTCCTTCCAGCCGTCGCTCACCGGACCGGAACCCGAGGAGGAGCGCAGGGCGCCCTGGAGGAGCCGCAGAGCTGCAGAGAAGAACCGTCTCTGGGCGGCTTCAGCCGGACCTGGAGAAGAGGAGCCACGGTGAACGGGACGCACAGAATCCAAATCAGCAGGAGGTTCTGAAGCAGCCCTGGACCTTCAGAGACGGGATCATTGGATCCGTCGGCTCCAGAACCGCCGGGACCTTCGCTTTGTTCTACCTCCACTGTGTTCTACCTCCACTATGTTCTACCTCCACTATGTTCTACCTCCACTATGTTCTACCTCCACTGTGTTCTACCTCCACT